CATATGATTGCCGCTGCGTCCTTGACTTCCCTATTCTGTTGGTTCCGAAGACGAATGCACAAACGTTTGTCGAGGCACCTTAGGAAGGTCCGTAAGATATCTGTGTATTTTAGGTTTCATCCACTTTGCCTACGATACCTAAACCGACGCCATCGTAAAAAATTCATTTGGGCAGGAGGTAATTAGCCGGTCCCACAATTAGACTGCTCCATCGAAATTTTACCTGCTCTACGTGGCATCGCGTCGGGTGCTTCGATGACCGGCGTGTCTGTCACCTTTCCTTCCCTGCCATTTCATCTGCAGTACACTTGGAACACGGCTTTGATGAAAGTGATTGTACTTCGTCGCCTCATTTAGACTATAGTTCCTCCCCTTAGATTTTTTCTGGGGGATGATAATGATGCTGACCCCCCGGATTTGCGTTAAAGATGGTTCCGCGACTATTCTCGACTGCATGTTATAAGCTATCAAAGTTGTGGCAGAGTTTTGAGAGTGAGGTTGCCGTGGCACTTCTTTAATCGTGTTTCTAAAATGTGCCAATCCGTCAACTAGTGTGGGACGGGGCCCAGAGATGCTTTCCATGAATTCGTTGCATTGCTCAGTGGACGCCGACTGCTACTTAACCAAGACCTTTATCGTACTCATGGTTAGCCAGGAGCATACGTAATCATGAACAAAGCAGTTCACACTTCGCTGCATGACCATCACGATTATGCTATTACAAGCGCAAGCGTTCGAGGATAATAGGTCTCAAACAGTGGTCTCTGATACTTTCGTTTTCACCTCCATACGCAGGCTGTTGAGCTGTGGCTGTCGGCCCGGTAGTCGATGTCGTTCGGAAAGGCAATAAGTGCCCTCCTCCGCACCACAGGTGGCATTGCGCTAATACTAACCCTCCTAACCCTAATGTCCCCTGGAATTTAGCGCAAGGCCACCGTGCTCTGCTGCCTTCGGCCTCAATCCCAGACCGGTTCTCCCGGCAGGTGTCTTCCAGCATGATCATTTCACTTCACTTGTCTCCCAAAGTGCGTCAGATACGAACCCCTTATCTTTGTCTCGTTTCATCATCCCATCGTTTGTTTGCCTTGCCATCTGCCTGAACCTTTCCGGGTAAACGGCTTTCATTCTCCCGTTTGTACTACGTCTCGCAATCTTCGTGTAGCCCAAGTCGGTTGCCCCACTGGTTTATTGTACACAGAAGCCAGGGAGTTGTAGTCTCTGGCGGCAGTGGCCGCTAGCGAAACCAGGACTGATGCTGACAACGTCCAGTCCTGTCTGAGAGTCCACGAGACAGTGGTGACAGTTTCCTTTGTAGGGGCAATCTGAAGTGGTGTTGTAGCGGGCAGCCATCATGACCGGTCTGGTGTCATTGTTCAAGACGTCGCTGCCTCAAGGTCATTCACCCCTTGCAGTGAGCCGTCCCAGACGAGCTGACCTGAAGACACTCGACCGACCTCAGGTCGGACACAATTGCGTCTACACAGCGTTACGGCTACCCATGCGCCACTTGAAGGCGCCACCCCCTGCAACCAGCAAAACAAGCCACTGGGACACCTCTCCTCGGCAAATGCAACGCACACGGACTGGATACCACTTGAGCTTGGCCCACGAACCTCCAAAGGCGCCTGCCACCACTGTCGCAGGGACTCTCAGGCATGACTGGACGCAGTCAACACCAGTCCTGGCTTCGCCGGTGGCCAATGTCGCCTGAGATGACAACTCCGGGTTCTGTGCACAATAAACCCCTCATTCTGGTGCCTTTTGTCTTCTCCTTCCAATACGAGGATTTGGCCTGACGATAGTAGCTCTCTGAGTACAGACACACACACTCACATCGCCTGCCGTAACAGTGTCTACTTGGTGTGTGTTCCATTTTCTGAGGGGTAGTGGCTTATGTTGTGGATGTATGAGCGGAGAGGGGGGGGGGGAGAGTGCGTGCATGCCCAGCTGCGTCTCTGTGGATGCATGTGCATCTGGGCTTAATTCAGTCGAGTGACTGGAGCTCAGCGAGTCTGGAGCCGTTCGCTCATTGATTTCAGTAGGTGGTCGACAGTGGTCACTTTCATACTACTTTTGGTCCCAGGAGACGTAGTTCTACTTGCTGATTCCTTTAATTCGAGGACTACATTGTGGACTGCTGCGATTATGATCCGCACCTTCGCTAAGGTCCACATTTTACGGGTAAGAAGGGGGTTCGGGCTTTAGGGTTAGGGATGGGGTAAGGGGTTGGGCTTCAGGGTTGGGTTAGGGTTTTTGGCTAACGCTAGCACTAGGGTTTAGGGTTAAGGAGTCATTCTGCACCCTCTTCCCACAACTCCCATCTACGATTTACGTTTCATTACCCTCATTCTTGGACGGTTAGGCCTCCATGACCTTGACGGACCAATCACCCTTATTCTTCGTAGAACTAGTTTCACTGATTACCCGCCGTGAATTTTTGCATTGCGCGTTGTTTACGACGAGACTTTTGTACCCACTCAAACAAACTGTCTATTGCCCTATAATAACTGTGTTTTCCTCTAAGTTTTTTGTACTCCCTTCACTGTTTTCCCGCAGCCCCACCCCTAAAGCCCCTTTTAACACGGTTCCCTCATTGGACGCGCCTGGGCTTCCCCATTCCCCAGCAAGACCGCGTTTCCGAGCCCTGCCCGGAGCCTTAACCAGGGCCCCAGACACATTTATGATGGCTGTCGGAAACGACCTATCCGTCTCTCAGTCGTCAAACTAGTCACCATGTATTTGGCATGTGGATCAAAGGACTTGTGAATGACGTTTTGTGGACTATTCCTTTTGCTCTCCACACCCTCAACTTTCATGATTTGCAGCTGCTTTCGTTCGCCGTCTGTCGGTCTCTTTCAGCCATGTCGGCTATTGTTGCCTTTAGTTCCGTTTTTACGTCCTGCCAAGCAATTAACGGCACATATCGTCCCAGCCACCGACACATCTAACTGACCCCGCCCCCTGGTCAGCACACCAGGTGCCGGCAACGCGATCGAAGGAGCATCCATGTTGTTCTACTGCATTCTGATAGGTAAGCAACGATAGCTGATAAGCATATTGTAATCTAAACAGGTTTTCTACTGTTTTCGTTTCTGACGCTGAAGGTGACTTCATAGTGTCGTCATTCTTCCTCTAGCGAGTGATGATAAAAGAAAGAGCTTGAAGTACCTGCCTTCTCCGCAGCGACCGATTCTCCCGAGGGTCGGAACTTTCAGCCCGTACAGTGGCAGCTTGTAGACGATCCGATTTGTCCTTCCCCCCGCGAACCATGTTTTCTGCCCCTTGCCCATGAGGATGTGTGCAATGCTTACCTAAGTAGGGCTGCTTCGATATTCCGTGAAACTCGCGATTAGTCTTCCAATGACACAGTCGGAATTACTCGGACCTGACCCCAGGATGGCCGCTTTTCTTTCCGCAGATGCGGCCCAGCAACTGGCTTTGCGCTTGGCATCGGTCTAGCGGGTGTACCTCACGGATTTTGCACGCCCTACTAGGAATGAGGTGACATACTGGCCATCTTAAGGAGAGGCCACTGTATTCTGGATCTCAGATCAAGGTGGGCCGTACTAGAAACCGCCGTGTTGGTACACGCCCACTACAGTCTGTTGTGCAGGTTGAAATTGCTATCAGGGCATTGTAGGGACTTAACCACCAAAAACGACAGTAATTTTTAAGAACAAGTAAACTGAAGAAGCAGTCAAAGTACGGGTGGTAGTAGGAAGAATCTGCTTAGTTGGATCATCTCTACAAGAAGACAACAGCTTCCGGATACTGGCGCAACGAAACGCACGGATCCTACCGTATGTACACTACGAACAAATAGGCAGTCACTTAAAAATCTCGGCTTCCGAACGCGCTCTTAATTGACGGCCTGCGTAAAATGCACTCTGCAAAAAACTACAGCTTGATTACCATGAAGTTCTCATATTAATTTCCGATGCCCCTATAAATTCAGATATAATGTATAGGAAACACGCATTTAAAACATTCTTGCATTTACTGATTTGATAGCAAATGAAGTTGCCAATAGAAGCGAAGAGACGAGTTCCAGGAAGTAGTCTTGAAGAAAGAGACACGATCGCCGGGACAAAAGCTTTATTAGCCTGACGTTTCGGATTCCTACTCGAATCCATCATCAGAGACAAAAAAGCAGAAACGGGTTGTTGTTGCACAAGGGGCTGGGGTATTTATAGGATGCAGTAGCCATGCTACCGCATACCTATGAACATTCACAGCTCCCCACTTTCATCCGGGATCGTCGCACTTGGTGTGATCATTGCTTGATGGCCGACATTCGAGTCGATAATTGCTGCAATTTCATCACGTGTGTTGGGTGTTGGCGTGATGATTGCTCGGCCATCTGACGCATCGACCCCGGTGTTGGGAAAAGTGTTCACCTCTGCGCTCCCCGCATGGCTTGTTACTCCGCCTAGGCGAAGTTTCAGCACGGAGTATAGAATGGGAAGGTCGTTGCATTTATTAATAGATTGCGGACCAGTGAACCATGACTCAAGCAGCTCGCGGCTCAAGCGGTTCTCACCTCTAACGAGAATTTCGGCCTCGCTGCGCGAGAATATGTGGCCGGATCTCGTCAAATGAGCCGCAACTCAAGAGCTGGCGTCATCTCTCCGCACCGCTGCAGCGTGTTCGGCCATTCTCGTTCGGAGCTGTCTTCCGGTTTCTCCGACGTAGTTGCTTTGTCCGCAACTGCATCAGATCCGATAAACGACTGCAGACGTTTCTAGCCGTGGCAGTGGGTCTTTCGGTTTCATTATCTGACGCCTGATGGCTGCCTCCGGTCTGTGTGCTACTCCAACCCCAGGTGGTGCGAGAAGGCGGCCGACAACTTCCGAAACGTTCTTGACATACGGAAGTGTCCGCCAAGATTTGGTGTCAATGCGGTTAGGCCTTTCGTCCCTTTTGCGTATGCACCGGTCGACGAAGTTGCGCGGGTAGCCATTGGCTTTGAAGACCCTTCGGAGGTATTGTAATTCGGCAATTTAGTCTTCCGGCTCACTGCAGTGCGTTTCGACACGCCGATAGAGCGTCCTTACACAGCTGCGTTTGTGGCTGATTGGGTGGTTACTGTTGAAGTTCAGTGCATGCATCGTATTTGTCGCTTTCCTGAACAATTTGGTTTTTAGTTCACCACAGCCTTTGCGGCATACGAGGACATGCAGGAAGGCCAGCTGGTTGTTCTCTTCCTCCTCTATCGTAATTTGAATGTCCGGGAAGACGGCGTTGAGATGTTCTTGGAATGTCAACACCTGATCCCGTTCGATGACGACGAAGGTGTCATCCACATACCAGGCCCAGAATTTCGGTCTGTGGTGTTGGAGGACCAGCGACTCTAACCGTTGCAGGACCGCCTCGGCGATGAATCCCGAAATCGGCGAACCCATTGGTGTGCCCTTCACCTGTTCGTAGATTGTCCCGTCGAACGTGAAGTACGTCCTGAGACAGAGCTTCAGGAGCTGAAGGACTTGGGCGTGTCCAAGACTGTTCTCCGTTTCATCGTATTTGCTTTGTAGTAGCAGTTCAATTGTCTCGATCGCCAGGTCCTGGGGAATAGAAGTAAAAAAGGGTGTAACATCAAAAAATAGCATGACCTCATTTGGATGGATGCTTACCTCTTTGAGTTTCTCCAGGAATTGTGCTGACGAAGAGACCGTGGTGCCTGACTCAGCGGTCAGGAACTTGAGACGCCGGCACAGCCACTTGGCCAATCCGTACGTTGGAGTCCCTTTGAGCGACACGATGGGCCGGAGAGGAGCGCCTTATTTGTGCATCTTAGGGAGGCCATGGAATTGGGCCAAAGCCGTATCTTGGGGTCTCCTTATGCGCCTGTCGGTCGGTGTTATTGCACCCGAGTTCTCTAAGGCCAAAAATGTAGCATTAATTTCGCGAGTCAACGCTTTTAAAGGTTCGTTGCACATGGGACATAGAACTGTCGGTCCTCCAGTAAACCTTTGGCTTTTTGAAGGTAGTCTATCCTCTCCAGTAAAACTATGGCGCGTCCTTTGTCCGCTGGCACGATGACCAGGTCTTTGTCCGCCTTGAGTTCTCTAAGTGCATCACGTTCGACCTTGAAAAGCACTTCCCGCGGCCTGTGGGCCATCAGGAGAGACGACACTTGGTGTCGGATGTGGCTCTTAGTCTCCTCCGTTGCCTCCGTCTGACAAAGGATTGATTCCAATGCTGCAATCATGTTAACAGGTTTGGCGTCAGCCGTGTTAAATGAAGCTTCGTGCCGCAAAACCTGCATCTGACCCTTCGTCAGCTCCTTTGATGACAGGTTGTGCACCCGTTTGTCGTTTCTGGGCGACGTTGGATTGGGCAGCCTCCGAAATTTGTTCTCCAGTGTTCATAGGTATGCGGTAGCATAGCTACTGCATCCTATAAATACCGCAGCCCCTTGTGCAACAACCATCCCTTTCTGCTTTTTTCTCTGATGATGGATTCGAGTAGGAATCCGAAACGTCAGACTATTAAAGCTCTTGTCCCGGCGATCGTGTCTCCTTCTTCAAGCAATTGAAGTCTTCTTCAGATTTTATGCTTAGAGGTAAAGTACTTTTCGGTTTTTGAAAGTTATTAATCACGAGATTTTTTAGGATCATGAAATGTCCTATGATACAGCATCGTATTCGCACATTTATTAATGCTGCCCACAAAGTAAATAAAGTGGTCCATATTCCTTACAAACTTTTATGAGCCCTATATGCACTCTTCATAACAGCATTTAAAAGGAATTATTTTGCTAGCACGAAAAGATTACAGTTTGTAGTTCGGAAGTCCTGGTGCAAGTGTAACGGCAGATCGAGTTCAAATTATTTGAAAATTGAAAAAGGTTTTTTAAACCTAAAGATGGCCTTTCTTCAAGCATAGAATTTAAGGATTTAACTTGCTACCAAATGGGCAAAAGAAGGAATGCTTTTGTCCATGTTTTCTGTGAAAAATATTCAAGTTTACAAGGGCATCAGAAACCATCGGGAAAATTCATGCAACTTAAGTAGTCATTTTTACAGAATATAGTTTATTCAAACGGGTGAGGAAAAGTTCATCCGAAAGTCAGCATTCTGTCGTGGTTGGAATATCTTTACAAAAGTGCCATAAGGATGTTATTTGCGCTGAGGCGAGGATCGATAAAGAGCTGTTCGGAAAAACCTATGGGGCATTCGTCCGGTCCCATTTAGAGTACGCAGTCTAGGTCCGGCGACCGTGGTCGAAGAAAGATTATCAACGACTGGAAAGAGTACAGGCGATGGCTACGAAGATGGGCAAGAATCTTAATCATCTGCCTTACGACACCAGGCTGACCGAACTAAATCTGTTTCCTCTAAATTACAGGCAACTGCGCGGCGATCTCATTTAAACCTACAGGATTGTCAGAGGTCGTGAGTGTGCCCTAGACTTTAATGAATTCTTCGAATTGGCCGGGACTGACCGTCTGCGTGGTCATCCCTTCAAACTGCAGAGGAATCTGGCTCATTCGAACGTCCGACGGAACGCCTTCTCTCCCTGGGTCATTGGGGCATGGAACGGACTCCCTGATGCAGGGGTTCTTTCCGAAAGTGTCGATTCCTTTAAGTGTAGACTAGATGCTCATTTGTTGAGAAACTACAGTACATATAATAACGATTGTTTTAGCGACGGCAGTTTGCGCCTGGCTCTCACATACCGCTAATTTTTTAACTTTCCGCATTTGCTGATGTAATTGATGACTTTATTTCTGTTTATCGATATGGGTAGGGAGCTCAAGGGCGAAAGCCTCATTCCCTTAATAAACTGACTTAAACTGACTACAGGGCGATAGATAATTTTGCAACCCAACTAAAGTAATCATTCAGAATAAAAAACAACTTTCAGGATTTCAGCCAGCATTTCACATGATAGCGCATCTACTAGAATACTTAATTAATGCGTGGCTGTTAATTCTTCTGAGATAGTTTCGCACGCATTATATAGGAATACGCTCATTTTAAGCATGGGATTTTAGGGTAATTTGTACCTCAAATTTCGATTTCTGAGGCCATCACATGATCGCAGGTAGATTGGATAATGCTACCAATGACGTATATACCCTTCTAACGCATGTTCCCGTCCTAAGAACTGAGTTAAGCTGGGATGGAGAAGGCCGTGACCCAATGTGAGAGGTCGTTTGCCGTCGGGTACGCCGTGTGGTCAGGAACAAGCAACCGGAATTTTAACAATGTGATCCAGTCCATCCGAGTCCTCCGAAAATAAGTAATGCGAAACGGTTCGCTCGTGGGATTTTTACTAATATTTGGTGTCTACGCAGGGAGCACACCCACGACATCTACATTATGGTAAGACGAACGGCTCCGCAGGCGGGGACGTGGTCCGTGTAACGCAGTCCGCAGGATGGGAGCATGTGCCAGTAAGGTGACATGGTCCTATCTACTGCTATACTGTTGCTGACGGCGACCATGCCCAAGGCCCTGCCACCTCAAGGTCATTCACCTTGCCGGCGTGCAGTCCCCCAGACTCCTTGGCCTGCAGCCAATCGATCGACTTCACTCCAGACACACGGACGTCCTCCACACAGTCGCAACTGCCCCTGCGCCGATTGTGAACGCGCCGCCCCTAGGCGCATGCAAGCACGCAATTGGACAACACTTGAACCTGCAAAACCAACTGCCACCAATCGTCTCACTCATTCTGAGGCGCGACTTAACACCGTCAGCATATGTCCCGGTCTCGCCGTCGGCTACTGCCGCCCGAGAGAACAACTCAGGTTCCTGTGTACAATAAACCCCCGCAGTCTGGTGACGTCTGTCTTCTCCTGTCACCCGGAATTTGGTCTGGCATTTGTGGCGTTTTGAGTACTCCCGCACCATCATTTATGCCCATCGGACGGCCTCTTGCTGGGGAAAACTTTGGCTGTGGTTATGATAGTGGGCGCTCACCGATCGGGTTACGGAACATGCTCGTTCCGTTGTGCCTTGGGGCTCATACTAGAACCCTCGCAGGTAGTTGCACAGGGACTAGTAGAATGATGTAAATCAGGTGGTACCGACAAAGACAAGAGAGACCGGAATGGCCATTTCTGACTTATTAGCCGTCATCAGCCGGTCATACCCAACCCCAAGTGTGGATCACTTGAGATTCGAACCCGTAACCTGATCGGTGAACGCCCACTATCATAATTAATATTCCCGATCACAACCGACAGGAGTACGGGCCCGTGGCTCAATGGTAGAGCGTCAAACTCCATGACCAAAGATCCCGGGTTCGAATCTCAAGTGATCCACACTTTGAGTTGGGTATGACTGGCTGATAACGGCTAATAAGCCAGAAATGGCCATTCCGGTCTCCCTTGTCTTTGTCGGTACCACCTGATTTACATTGGCTGTGGTTTTGGATACGACTTTCTTTAAAAAAATCGATATATTTAACTCCTTCAAACAGGAAACTTACGATTGAACTGCCCTTCAAATGCGCAGAAGACTTCATTTTTTATAATTTGCTCGAAGAAATCTCGGTCAGTTTGTGCAGACACCAAAAGTCTGCGGAAACCGTAGACGCCACTTCAGTAGCGACACTCATTGACGACTGAAACGTAATTTTCATTATTCTTTACAGAAAAAGGAACAAGAAGTTCTGTGTAAGCACGGAAAAGGAACTGAACAGTGCGCATTACCTAAGCAGTGGCTGCCTTGTGAGTTCATCTATGACAGTGTTTGGCCTTGGGCGGTATTGCAATCCTACCTACTTGGTTTTTTGGTAAGATGTGGTCTGGCAGCCTTACCTGATGGGCAAAATACTGTTGGGGTTGGGGTTAAAGGGTTAGAAGTTAGGGTTAGGGGCTATGGCTAGAGTTAGGGTTAGAGGTTAGGGTTTAGGATTAGGGGCTAGAGTTAGGGTTAGGGGTTAGCGCAACTATTTCTCGCCCATTCGAAGTTCAATCGCGCACTCCCAATAGCTTTTCTTTTCGATACGGCTACTTGACCTCGTCGTCTGTGCGTTCTCCGGCCCCACCTGTAGAAAACCCTATTACCACCGGTCCCGTATTGGAGGTGACTGGGGTTTGTTTACGTCAAGTTGGGCTACCGAACCACATCCGACCGATATTTTGAGTTGAAAATCGATCAACCAATGCCCAGCTGTTTCCTAAGTCTTGGTGCACATCATGGCTGTGGGTTCGTGGGTAAATCGCGTACCGCGCCTTGAACTCACGCTTAAATTACTAATAATGCATGCGTAGAAAGAGGCTCAGGTTTGACATTCACCTGCGCCCCAAGTTAGACGCACTGAAGTTGAACGCGCTGACGAGATTCTGCCAAGGTGGTGCAGTTCTGATGACTGATCGGTTGCCTTGTGTTCTGCAGACAGAACAGTGTACTTTTCATACGTGTAGGCGGCTTGCGGGCATGCGTCTGTGACATAACCTGGTTCAAGAATTGTTTGCATAGGTATAATAGAAGTGCCTAGACGGATCAGCCCTGACCCGCCCATTTGGGCCATGAAACAGTACAACTCCGGTAAAACACAAAGGGGTCGCACCTTTCAGGATGATCAGAGTAGAATCCATGCTACAGGCGCCGAGCATGAGACCGGCTAACCTCCACAGTGATGATGCTCTACGTGCGATCGAACACTCGCAGAACCGATGGAAGGCTACAACCGGACGTTTAGTAGATGGCCGTCGTGGATGTACTGCTGCTGACGTCCCTTGAGTCGATGGATGGCATATCAACCGCACCCTTCAGATGTTTCGTTTTTCGGCTTCTTCTCATTTCTACAAAGCTGTTGACCCTTCTGGTCGAGCAGATGAACGGATTGAACTGACCTCTCGGTGGTCGATAGCACATCACGCAGTCCAGAATGAATAGGCTTGACCATCAAAGGCGTCAGAGGGTTTGGGAATTCCTTCCGGTGAACCTACTTAGCACATGACTTTAGTGTGGTCTAGGGCGGATGAGCAAATTTACAATTAGTAGAGGAAGCATGTGAGCGGGGTGAAATCATGGAATTCTTCACAACGGCTCTTAACTTGTCATTGTAACTATAACAAGTGCGAAATATGCATGTGTATTACGCTGTGTCAGGTTTTGGATTTTCTAATAACGTCGTAGGAAGTACACGACAATAAGCACCCTAGAATGGCAGGTGGCCTTACGCTAGACTCCTATCCCCGAACCCAAACCTTAATCCTTAACCTAAGCTTAACCCTAATCAGTCAGGAATCTAGTGCAAGGAGGAACCAATTACCGTCTCCTAATCCCAAACAGCAACCGCAACCCCAATCACTGCGTGCTTTTATATAAGGTCTCGCATTCTGTAACTGTTAGCTAACGTAAAGCGTGGAAGACATAGGAATCCGCACAAACACTTCACTCCACAAACCTGCTACAACGTCCCACGAAGGCATACATTCAGAAGATTATTTAAAATTTGACGGACAGGAATGTGCTTTCTTTAAGTAAGGCATCAAGCCCGACATCCACTTAAAGACTTGTTATTTAACCAAGTGCATCCCTCTATAGATCTCAGAAGTAGGGGGTTTACTGGTCCGTGCAATTAACTGAGCCTCATTTGAACAAGGGTCAACGGCACCCCAACAGGAACTGTCTGTAATACAGGTGGCTTTGGGCCAACTCCCAGTGAAAGTAAGGCTAGGGTTATGGTTAAGATCAGGATTTGGTTTAAGGCAAGTCAGGATCAAGTTTATGGTTGTGCTAGGGGCCACTGTTATCTACAGAGTTAAGGTTGACGGTATGGGTAGGGTCAATTTAAAGGCAACGGTTTAATATTACACTAGGGCTATTCATCGCCTGCTCTTGTGCAATTACATTATGTACAAATTCATACCGCTGTACGCTTCCATTCGTCACCTATGTTACGCAGAGACGAGCTGCAGTTGAAAGGCCGTCGTGAAATTTTTTGGCCCCAATAAATCCTGCTGTGCATGCCTGTTTCCAGCTCATACCTGGGAAAAGGTGCCTCAGACTAGAGTTATTGTTAGACTAAGTACACGGGGCCTTTTTGCCCTTTCCGGAATTATCTGCAGGTCCACCTATATAACTTCTGCGAGGCGTACCCATTTCCGTGTCCTGATTAGAGGGTCACATAAGTCAGTCATACCGCGCAGAATGTATGGTTTATTGCGCTCCCTTAATGCCAAGCACTGAGGGCTTTGCTTGCCTGCACAGATCGAGTGTAATATCGCATACTGACTTCTCCTCTGAAGGCATGTTCGGCGCACTTTCCATCATACCTGACAGACCCAAGCAACAGGAATTATTTTGGAGATATTCAAGGCCCAACACACCGAACTGGGAACGAAATCCAGGGCGAACGTTTTGCAGACCCATCACTGGTCACGCAGCGAATTCCACCTCATCAGGCGTTCCCGGATTTCTCTACAAAGAGAAGAAGTACGTCTGGCGTCCCACAGCCCGTAAAACAGTTCCACGAAGACTTCTGGTTGACTATGTCGGCGTTGACTGTTTTTAGCCGCCCCTGTGTCTCCATACAAATGTGCTGCTTTGCGTACTTATCTATGTTTGTACATTTATGTCACTTGACACACTCTTATAGAATCCATTAGTCGGCCACAATTCAGTAGATCGTATCCCGTATTCATGCCTACAGTGGAAAGCATATTCATTTGGAGGGTGGCAAATGGGCATGCAGCTCACATGCTTCTCTCGCCAGCTCCGACTACGAGGCCCTGGATGAGTCGTCATCTCCTCCTGTTTAATGCCGGGTTCTTTTCTACTGAGACTATTCAAGTAACCATTTTTTGGAATCGGGTAGTACCTTGAACTCATTCTGCGGCAATTTTGGAGCAGTTTTTCGGCTCACGCATACCCTTTTGTTAGCTTGCGTGAATCAGACCTACTGGTACTTGAAACTGCCACTGGTTTGGGAAGGGGAGTGCACATGGGTTGACAAACATTAAGCATCAAAATCACGAGACACCAAGATTATTTGCCAAGCCGAGAAAGACGAGGTGTCTATTGTTGAGAGGAAAGTTAAGACGCATTTACAGCAGTTCGATGTATGAGGCTCTTAGACTACAGCTTTACTAACTTTATGGCCGTGTGGCTAGTTATGTTAGTGATTAAAAAGGCGACAAACAGTCGGCTTTCCGGCACCGACCTGCGTGCGAGTGAAATCGACAAAAAAAATTTACTACTTAGCAATTCCTCGTGGTCAGCAGATGTCTCTAATCTCTATATCTAATACCGACTATTATTCCCCAAATTCGAAGGACGCAAAGGTAAGAACATGATACTTTTTCATGAGCAACTTCTCTTCAACATATTTGAAACTCTGCAGGAGATAATCACTTAGGTCTTAGCGTGAGAACGACTGGTAAAAGGTGAAAAGAAACCCAACGTGTCAGAAGAATGTTGAGGACGTATAATTCAGTCGAATTCGATAACTAAGACTTCTTCACCGCCTTAAAATCTATTGTGTCTTCAGCAAACATCGTAGAAGATGAACGGTTCGAAATCCGCAGCAGCACCTGGCGGTTTTTAAAGATTCGAAAAACGTTCGCAAAACTGCCTTGTGAAAAGGAGACATTTCGTTCCTTTAAAAAGGATGAAAACATCATTCTGGTTGCTGATATAGGAGGTTTTATTATCATTCTGAGTAGGGAAGACTACCTACGGGAGATGATGTCATAGAACTGTGCAATGATTAGCCATACTAGCAACACAGGTATTAGCTAAAAGCCCAGACACGCGTGTTTCGCCGATCTTATGCCGCCGCCTGACGCAGCTGCGAGGGGTTCGGCTCGTCAGTGGGTCCCCCAGCTTTCCCCGTGTGTTTTCTGGTATATGAACTCCAGTTTCAACTTGCCTTGTTTAATTTCCGAGGAAATAAATGCGCGAACTTGGAGTAAATCTTTCGAAACGGGCCTTTTTTAGGCAGAGTTCTATACTACTGGCTGCTTGCTGGCGGTTTGTGAATATTAAGCGGTTATTCCGCAGTAGCTGATGGATTTCAGCTCAAATATTCATATCAAACTTTGGACCGTGCCTGAAAAAGGCCCGTTTCGAAAGATTTACTCCAAGTTCGCGCATTTATTTCCTCGGAAATTAAACAAGGCATGATGTCATAGTTAAATACCAAGTCAGCGTAAAAAACCAGTAACTGCCCACCCTAAGAATCCACAGAACTCAGATATTTAAAAAAAATTATTGGGACGCCTCGCGTGAAGAAAATTAGTGCCAGCGTTTCTTTCCATAACTCCGAACGAGGATAAAACAACGAAGGTCAAAATATGCAGACTTGCTCAGGTCCACAAAGTTGGCATTCCACTATCACTGATAGTCTGGTTGCTAGATGCAGCAAACTACAAGATTTCTAAGTGGCCATTTTACCAATTCCATCCACTTACGAAGAACTCTGAAACTTCTAATCTGCATTCAATGCTGTTTCGAACGGAAAGGACTGAAAGGAGCAGCTGTTAAGATACTGGTGACATTTACTGTGTGCTCTCCATTCACTATTAATTTCTGCAAAAATTAATTAGACGCCCCATTGAGTGACGTCTGTAGATCTGTTGTATCAACCCGCCAGTGGACGCATTACTTCATCTACTCGACCTTTATCTAGAAACAACCTTTTCTTCCATTAAACATCGATATCAGCCAATAAAAGGTGTCCCACAGATTTGCCAATATCTGGATTTCTGACGGGAACTGTGATGTAGAAGTTGGAAACTACTGCTCTCCACATGAGTTAACCTGAAACTGCGGTTGCGCTGCATAAGCGATGCTGCAGCAGTCCCCGCTCCAGTGCCCCCTTTCGCGGCGTCTTTTTGGGCGTCAGAGACCGCGACAACCGCGCTAACTTGCGGACGCATCACCGACGCATCGCCTTCCCTCAGGTCTGACCTGGGGCGCCTTTTGTTCAGCTGTAATGTGTCATGCCTGCGCACGCGAACTTTCGCTGTCTCACGCGCTTCAGACAGCCTGGCGTGTTACCCTTGTCACCATGCCCCCCCCCCTCTCCGACCCTCACCCTAAACCAACCAATCACATGTCCAGCACTCAGCCAGACCTCCCCTCACGTTGACACAGGCATAAGACCACCGCGTAAACAGCACAGCCGGCCTGACGCTCTCCCCAGCAGACGCTTTGCTCCGACACGAGCAAAAAGCCAACTGTCATTAGATGGAACAAGTGATCTTACATCCTCGACCACCACACACTACCCTTGAAATCGCCAGAAAAGATAGATTCGGCAAGCATTTAACTCCAATTTTCGGGGAAATCGGTTTGCTTTCAAAATCTAGCCATACCCACACGTCGAAGGGCTGATAAAAACACTGCTATGTTCACGTCTAGGAAAAGGGAGGGTGTCTCCTTTTGCTTCTTCATGAGTAAATTGGAGAACATGAAAGGTGCCATTCAGGCTTTGTTGAAACGCTCTACTTCACAGGATTTCACGATGATGTCATCCACATGTGTGAGTCACATTTCTGGTTAACAGCTTTGTAAAACATCCCCTTCTAGTCGCTGCAAGACTAGTTCTGTCAGGAGCTCCGAGATTGGCAAATCCAGTTGGGTGCGCTTAACCTGTTAGTAATATTTGTCATCAAAATGGCAATAGTTATCGAGGCAGAGCATAAGCATTTTGTGATGGAAGGTCGATGGGACTGTCAGGCTAAGCTGTCACTGGAAAGGTCATGATTGTCCAGAGGTGATCTTCCGCAAGGTTCCAAAAAGTTAGGTTTGGGCTTGAAGGTAGGGCTAGGGTTAAGATCAATGCTAAGTTAGTGACCGTGGTTATGGTCAGGTTACCAGAATAGGTAACCTTACTTAAATTTGGCGCAAAAACCCACTCACATACCTATTCACTTGTCAAACCTCCGATCTGGCCATTACCCACCCCCCACAGGAACTCAAAGGATTAAGTGATTACCACTTGGAGTAAGCATGTTTGCATAACAATTAGATTTTTGAAACAAACATGTAGCAGCTGAGGCAAGAACTAGCAAGCTAATGTGTCTAAACTAATCTGAAATCAGCCTCACCACCGCCTACGGTTGTAGCTTTTTTAGGGACAATCATTCCAAGTGTCAGCAAAGTTCCGCCATGCTCCAGGAGGTAGAAGTCAGGAAAATTCTTCGCCACGCTCCAGGAATCCCGACAACCGGCCAGCGGCCCATTGTTCGAGTGTTAGACGCAATAACCGAGGATCCCGAGTCCGTATCCCAGGTGCTCCATATGCCTGGGATTTGGTATGCTGGCCGATGACGACCAACAAGCTATTCTGAAATCCTTTGCCGAAAATGCACACAATATAAAACAAACACGCGCACAGACACATCTGGCGCAATTGATCCACCACCAAGGTATGTATGGCCAATTTAGACAGCTGGTCTTGTCTACTAAATCCTAGTTGATGTTCGTGGGTGCGTAATGGGACGAGTTTTCACGTTTGGCCAGAATATGCGGCATTTTAGACACCACAAGGGATCTTGTGGACGACTACTTATTTCTCAAGATAGCCAACCCTATTCTTAGGAGGTACAAACTGCGTGTGTAAAGAGTAGTCGTCGGTCGTGCGCCACTCCAATTTGACGTTTCCTCCATTGTCTTCCAATGAGCTTAGCCACCTTCCTGATGTATGGAGGGATTATGACTAATGGCCTTGACGAAGCCGACTGGTGGTTGCACTCTACTTGTGAGAGATTTGATTGTCGCTCTCATAAGGCAGAATGACTCCTGTATAAGTTCCTTTGAGGCAAACAAATGTGCCTCATTGGAGCTCCCTCTAGTTGTTAATAATTCCAGTGTTCTAAAGAAAAATTGTTTTCAAAACAAAGCTGCGGGACATCCGTGTCATAGGACTATAGGAGTTCGTCTGTGCACTGCTTTGCCGAATCTTTTGGTATGAATGTGCAGAGGTGATCTTCCGCCAGATTGCAGGAAGTCAGTGCTAAACTTAAGGTTAGGGCGAGGGTTAAGATTAATGCTAACTTAAGGATTATGGATTTCGTACACAAAATCTACTAGGAGGAGACATTTTTTTGAAACCAAGGTGTAGCAGATGAGATAAGAGCTAGCACGTTCATACGTCTGAATTAGTGTGAAGTCGGTTTCACCATCGCTTATGTGACTTCCACTTGGAGGAAGAACAATTAGATTTCTGAAACAAACATGTTGTAGAAACTAGCACGCTAATGAAATCAGTTTCACCACCGCCTACTGTGGTAACTTTATTAGGGAAAATTCCTCCGCCACGCTCCAGAACGTAGAAGACAGGTTTGTGCAGGTAGCCCAGGCAAGCACATGTGTACCTTTAAATTTTTCTAACGAAAACCGTCAATTTTACCCTGATTCTCTACCTCTTTAATTCTCTCTACAACGCCTTCAGGTGAATGGTTCGATCCGTCACTCATCTCCTCCCCACCGCCACCCGCACTCGTTTTCAATCACCCTAGAACTGTGCAGTCATGCTATTGGCGAATTATTCTTCTATTGCAAGGCTGTGATTGGTCTGGCCGTCTCCAAGGTCAAGGCAACTTATTGGTGCCTTGCCTACAAGCAGCAGGACGAGAAGGACTTCTCACACAGTCAAAGTACCCTCATTGAGCTGTCGGAAGATGCGACGACCCTTCTTTGTGACTCCCAGCATTGGCGCCGCCAAAATATTCGTAGTCCTTTGGCTAACGCTTGGTTTCACACAGCACGGACAGAGTGCCAGCAGTCCAGAGGCCTCAAACCCGCTCCTTCGCGGCTATCATGCTCATGAAGGAGTTAACGTGAGCAGCCACAAGCACTTTCCCACGAAGCCTCTCACCTCCTACGATGTAACCCTCCGACAGACCATAAGCATGACCCGTGAACTCTGGCGTCTGGTGGACAGTCAGCTGACAATATACGCAGCCGATTTCAACCTCAAAGAGCAGGACAGGGTCCGAGTCCACCGATACATTGGACATGCAACCCTTCTACTGGAGTCCAGACTGCGCGCCATGGACGAAGTCACGGGCCTGGCCGAAATCCGGCGCCAAAAGTTGCAAACTCTAGGCGAACGGCTACAGCGGCAACTGGCAGACCTACAGAATCCACCAGACTGTTCCCGGACTCGTCTCCTGATTGTCAGGTTCACTGACCCGGACTGTGATTTCCTCTGTCAGGTGCGACATGTTACTCTTGCCCTCTCCGTTGGCCTCGTTCTGAAACGAACTGTCGTCTTAGGAGATAACGCCGGAATGGGGAAACGCGAGCAGAATCAGGAATGGGTGGATCTCTTCCTGCCCCTCAGCAAATGCACTAGCTCCGTCGGAGCGGGCGAGAACATGGTGCTGGAATCCAACACTCCTCTCGACCCAACCATAGCACCCCCTGCCCTGCCTTCCGACTGGGTGGACTTGCTGGCCGATCTTCATGGCAATCCCTACGCCTGGTTTCGAGGCCAGATGCTGGTCTACCTCTGGCGCTATCGTGACAAGAGTAAGAGGCAGAGACTGGAGACACGCATAGAGCAACTGCGTCGGACCGCGGAGCAGAAGGCCAGCAACGTGACGAGTTTTCGGCCTCCACTCGCAGGGTTAGACGTTAGACAGCTGCCTCCTCTGACACGCCCAACCAACTACACCCTCCCCTTGGAACGTTTTTTCGAGTACAAGCACATGGAGTACCAAGTGAAGACGGATCTGAGAGAGGACCCCTGGGAGAAACCTGGTGCACGTCGCGTCTTCCTAACCACAGATGATACCAACCTTCCGTCCCGTCTCCGTGCTAAATATCCCGAGTACGAGGTCATCACCGTCGGTTCAGCAGCACACACCTTGGAGGATCGGGTGGATGAGGTTTTTCTTCTCGCCAGTACCGAGTTTCTTGTATGTTCCCTTCGTTCCTCCGTCTGCCGCTTGGCCTACGAACTCATGCAAGCCGACAATGCCCTCAACGGAGATGCCAGTCTTCAGGTACACTCAATGGACACGCTCTATTCTAACGAGGGTGACCAGCGGCGTTGGTGGTCCCTGGTCAATAACTTTGACTCAGCTGGCTTGAAAATGGGTGATGCTGTGATGGTAGACGGTCTCAACGTGGAGGGATTTCTAAAGGTGCTGCAAGCGGGTGGCAGTGATGGCGATAAATTCCTTCCCTCATTCATGCTACAGGAAGAAGTCATTCGGATTCCTAACTGAGTACGTGAACAGCGTACACAAAAGAGTTTATCAAGTTTCTGTATTTAAATATTATCGAAGGAGAGGTAGGGTAGGGTAAGCTGACAGAAGTAGCCGTCCCATTCCCAGTGTTTTTATCAACACACCTTCTGCCTTAATATGTATAAATATATACATATACATGCATGTATATGTTGTGTTCATCAGCTCCTGAAGAAGATATTGCAGAAGACAATAACATATGTGTACTTTCTTTGGAAACTGCCAATACCGTACTAGATTAATTTAAATATTCACCTAATCTAATATGCTGTTAAGACCCTGGGATACGCTAAATGTTGAATCGGGATGTATCTTGATTTGACAGAAGAACTTATTAGCTTCGAAACTAACGACTTTGAAGTCTTTTGGTGCTTAAGTATCCTTAAATCATCATTAAATTCGCGGGAAAATTGCCATGACAGTCTTAATGGTGCTTTCGTAGGGGTATTTGGTAAGGCGCTAGTGTACAGTCTTACGCTTTCCTAATAGATGCACACTTGATGGGTATCAAAGCACTCAGATAACTCTCTACTATTCATTAAAATAACTCTGTTAAAACAGATTGCCCTCTAGGGGAAGAAATTTCTGTTACTGTCATCCACATGACTCACCTATTCCCCTCATGTTTGTTATAGTTAAATTATCGGTTAAACGCACAGATTCCTTACTGGTTCAGATGTTTGGGTTAATTCCGAGAATCATCAATCTGGCTGGCTGCCACAACATCGCGCACACTCAGACTCTTGTGGGCGTTTTGAATTTACTTTTGGTGCACGTGCGAATTTCTTGGGAGGTTAGACCGTGTTCACATTGAGATGCCTGGACTCACAAAGTGTTCAAACCACTCTATCATGTACTCTTAATACATAGATTTTCAGGTCGTTTCTGGCAAAAGTGCTGAAGACTAGTACGTTGAGTAGAAATGATGGAAGTTCAAGTTCTACCATTACTAGAGATGCTATCTGAGAACGAACATTTAAAATCTCGACCGGCCTTCCAAGAAGGAGAGGTTAGAATTCTATAGGGTTATAGAGTTCTAGATTATAGAATTATATATGTGTAAGCATTGAAAGGTAGGCATCCCAAGCGATATAAGTTGAAATGAGATGGGTTCTGTGGGACAAGAGGGTTTGTTGTGTAATTTTTCGACGCTGGTATATTTTAATTGCAGACTTCAGTGGTGTGCTTGACTAATTTATATATGTCTATGCTCTAATATGTTGTCAAGACCTTCATCTCCCTGAGATGTGACAGATGTAAAAAGGGAATCCTCTTGATATGACATGACAAATCCGATTTGAACCTAAGGGCTTTAAAGTCTTTTGATGCTTACTTGTCCGTAGTTCACCATTAAAATTTTTAAGAAAATTATTACGACAGTCTCAAGAATGCTTTCAAAGTGATATTTGGTCGGGCGCCAGTTTACAGCCTCATGCTATCCTGCTAGATGCACTCTTGATGGGTTTGAAAGCACTCCGACAACGCTTTACTGTACACTCAAATAATTCAGTTAAAACAGGTTGCCCCGTGAAGGAATACTTTTCAGTCGCTATCATCTAAATGGCTCACTTACTCCTCTCTGGTGCAGACGCCTGGACTCATTCTGGTAATTATTAATCTTGCTGGTTGCATAAGATTGTGCACGCTCAGACCCTTGCGGGCGTTTTGAATTTACATATGCTGGTGTGTGGAGCGTACACACGTACAGATTTTCTGGTGTCTGGACCTTCCTGATCGCATTGAGATGCCTGTCCTCATATTGTGCGCAATCCGCTGTATCTTGTACTCCCACTAAGGACATTTTTAGGGCTCTCCTTCGTATGACGACAGTCTCATTGTCGTTTCTGGCAAAAGTGCTCAAGATTAGTACGTTGAGAAGAAAGTTTAAGTCCCCCTATTACTAGAGATGCTACATGAGAGCAGGCTTTTAAAATCACGACCGGCCTACCGACAACGCCCGCCGCAGCGGCAGCGGTGAGTCGTCGTGAAATATCCTTGATTCTCCCCCGTCTATCTCGCTTAGATGTCAAAAACACTGAAACGGACTGCGGACGCAATGTCCGGCAAAGTTAGGCAGCCGGCCTGCACCTGACACACACGCGACAGTTTGACCGTCGTTGCCGACGTTGTCAACCGTGTGCTCCACAGCAAGGTTCAGCAGACACGGTGACTTGCTCGGGAATCAGCTTGATGTGATAGTAGACTTTCTCAGCGTCTGCCGCACTCTCTCTTCCCCTACTCCCCACCTAGACCCGGGGTCAAGACAGAGGCGCTACCTGAGAACAAACATTTAAATTCACGACCAGCCTACCAAGAAGACGGTTGGAACCCTATAGGAATTTCGATAGAAACCGGGCTGGAGCCGGGTGCCTTTGGTCTCGGTTCTCCTACAGGAAACCCTCTTGTCTAAGTGAAGAAGAAGACTACTGGATCGACCCTGTAGTGTTCCACACCTTAGGGGTGGGTATGACTGAATGACGATGACTGACAAGCCACGAACGACTATTCCAGTCTCCTTTACGCGCCACTATAGGCTGCTCGAGAAAGAGCACGACGGGTCGAGTAAATTCCCTAAGTTCCGAAATGCGCTTTCGTTTCGAAAAGATTAATTAAGTAGGGTTGTAAAACTAGTCAGCCTGCAGCATAATGCTATAATATTCCAGTTACCCCAGGGTTCTGGCTTTTGAGCGAAGTTCCTTCCGGCTGCATGCAAAAACTACACCCTGTAAAAAATGACTACTTATGCAGCATGCATTTTTCTCATTGATATTCGATGCCCCAAACATTCATAAAAACACTCCTTCTTCTGCTCATTCGGTAGACACTTACGGCTTCTTCCAATATTATACTCGAAGGAAGGGTATAGTTCGGTTTTCAAAATTTTTTCCTATTTCTGAATAATTTTGAACCCGCTCTACCGTTACGCCTGGATTCAGGGTTTCCAAACTACTAGCTGTATGTTTTCCGCGCACGGAAAACCACACATTTCTCTACGATAGTAAGGGGGGATCATGAATAGTTCGTAAAATCTAGCAGTGGATTTGATCAATATTGTTAACTTTACAAGCCACACTGGTAAATGCAGAGACATGACGTGTTATGAGCGGCTATTTCATGGTATTTAAAAGTCCCGCAATTAGAAACCTTTCTAAAAACCGGATTATGTCCCTCCTTCGAGTATAAAATTAGAAGAACACGTAATTTTCCACCGAATAAGCATAAGAATGAATACTTTTGTGCATGTTTTCCATGAAATATAATTGAACTTTTAGGGGCATCTAAAATCAATGAGAAAAATTCATGCTTCATAAGTAGTCATTTTTTACAGAGTGTAGTTTTTCCATGCAGCTGGAAGGAATTTCGTTCGAAAGCCGGAATTCAGAGGTAACTGAAATAGTATAGAATTATGTTGTAGCTTGACAAGTTTTACAACTCTACTTAATTAATCTTTTCGAATCAAAAACGCATTTCTGAATTTTGGTTGACATTTCATGAGTTAGCCCGCCTACTGTATAGATTAAATCAGAAATGTGCGCAGACCGGTCTATTGGCTTCACGAAGCAAACCAGCTCCGTATGGGTGGGAAAGGTCACGAACAGACAACCAGTTACCAGGCTGAAGTCGGCCAAGTCATAATAGCAGCGAGGAGGCATAACAGAGAATGCGGGTGGATTGATACATTACTAATAGAAGCGAAGAGCCGAGTCCCAGGAAGTAGTCTTGAAGAAGGAGACACGATCGCCGGGACAAGAGCTTTATTAGCCTGACGTTTCGGATTCCTACTCGAATCCATCATCAGAGACAGAAGAGCAGAAACGGGTGGTTGTTGCACAAGGGGCTGCGGTATTTATAGGATGCAGTAGCCATGCTACCGCATACCTATGAACTTTCACGGCTCCCCCCTTCATCCGGGATTGTCACACTTGGTGTGATCATTGCTTGATGGCCGACATTCGAGTCGATAATTGCTGCAATCTCATCACGTGCGTTGGATGTTGGCGTGATGATTGCTCGAACATCTGACGCGTTGACCCGGGTGTTGGGAAGAGTGTTCACCAGTGCGCTCCCCGCGTGGCCAATTACTCCGCCTAGACGAAGTCTCAGCACGCTGTATTGAATGGGAAGATCGTTGCACTTGTTGATGGACTGGGGGCCAGTAAACCATCATTCCAGTAGCTCCCGGCTCATTCGGTTGTCACCTCTTGCGAGAATTTCGGCCTCATAGAATTTAAATGTGTGGCCGTATCTCGTCGAATGAGCCGCAACTTGAGAGCTGGCGTCATTTCTGCGCACCGCTGCCGCGTGTTCGGCCATTCTCGTTCGGAGATGTCTTCCGGTTTCTCCGACGTAGTTGCTTTGTCCGCAACTGCACCAGATCCGATAAACGACTCCAGACGTTTCTAGCCGTGGCAGTGGGTCTTTCGGTTTCATGACCAGACGCCTGATGGTTGCCTCCGGTCTGTGTGCCACTCCAACCCCAAGTGATGCGAGAAGGCGCCCGACAGCTTCCGAATCGTTCTTGACATACGGAAGTGCCCGCCAAGATTTGGTGTCCGTGCGGTTAGGCCTTTCGTCCCTTTTGCGTATGCACCGGTCGACGAAGTTGCGCGGGTAGCCATTGGCTTTGAAGACCCGTCTGAGGTATTGTAGTCCGGCAATTTTGTCTTCCGGCTCACTGCAGTGCGTTTCGACACGCCGATAGAGCGTCCTTACATAGCTGCGTTTGTGGCTGATTGGGTGGTTACTGTTGAAGTTCAGTACTTGCATCGTATTTGTCGCTTTCCTGAACACTTTGGTTTTTAGTTCACCATAATCTTTGCAAAATTGCCGAACTACAATAACTCCGACGGGTCTTCAAAGCCAATGGCTACCCGCGCAACTTCGTCGACCGGTGCATACGCAAAAGGGACGAAAGGCCTAACCGCACGGACACCAAATCTTGGCGGGCACTTCCGTATGTCAAGAACGTTTCGGAAACT